GTGTCCCTGCTTACTCTGCTTCTCTGATGCTTCCACCACTGCTATTCTCTCTTCTGCTCTCTCATTTTGTTGCTCTTTCTCTTTCTCTTCTGCTTCTCTTTCCTTCTCTCTCTGCTCTGCTGGTGTCCTCATGACACCGCCTTTATAAGCCTCTCAGCCCAGGTGTGCCCACCTGTGCATGTCCACGCCCCATTCCAGGTGTCCACCATTAGGCAGGCACGCAGGACCACAGGGATCCACCATCAATGCCAATGGCAGGAGGGTGGAAAAGCCTGATACTTTTATACTTACCCTACAGATGGGCAGAGAGAAAAAAATAATTTCAGATAGTTTACCAATAAAATTCCTCAAATTACCCATTCCCTCATGGGCAAAACTCAGCGAAGCAGGCTTGGGCTAAAGTGGAACTACTGATGCCTGAAAACTTGTTATACACCTCAGATACCATTAGAAAAGGGTTAGGCAGCTCCAAGAGAGTTGGGAAAGAAGGAAAGAGTTAAAATTGAAAATATACCACATAATCTGATATGAGATCAAGGTAACAGCTGACACTGTCACTGCCAAGGACCGGGAACATTCTCCCCACATGTCTCTTACCCATATACTCTTTTCCCAGTATTTCCTCCCACTTGTCTACACGTCTTTCCTCCCCAGCAGTACCAGGATGAAAGTCAAAACTAAAAAAGTAAGAGATTCAGATCACGTATGTGTTCCATTATAAGCCAAGCACACACTCTGCCCTAGTTCCTAGCAGTCCCCTGTACAGAAAGTCCAATTTATAGCATGCTGGGAGTTGCAATTCTCAGTATATAAAGTATCTTCAACATGGAGATGGGAGTGGAATATATTAAACTATCAAGAGGTGGATTGCTACTCTAACACCTAGAATAATTTAGTTGGAGCCCTCGACCAGGTATAGGTTTGTCTGTAGAAATGTCCTTTCTATCTGAGAAACACATTTTTGTCTGCAGAGTAAATATCAAGTCAACACGCCCTAGTCATATGAAGTCCCCTTTCTCTCTCTTTGTTGCCACAGGTTCCTAACTCATTCCTTTGTTTAAGGTTGTGACCCTATCCTCCTGACTGAAAGTGTAATCTGTGTAATCTAAATTCTCTGTGTGGACATTGCTAATGTCTTTCTTTTCTGCTGACCTATGATGTTGTTTTGATTACTCAGCTAGACATAGAAGGTCCCAGAGGTGTGGGGGAATTTTCCCTTATGTCCCAACAGTACTAATGCAATAGAATTCTGTCATGTGGAGAAGGAAAACATTTCCTTTATCCCTTCTAAGTTATTTGGCTTATCTAATAATTAAATTCAAATAAGCCATTGATAGGACCCAAAAAGTTTCGTACAAATGGGAACCTCAAAGATAGCAGTGATAAAGTGAGCAAAGCAGGCAGCTATTAAAACTTTCAGGCGAAGAAACAATAAATTTGTGATAAATTGGCAACACAAAGAATAGAGTTGTGATAGTAAATTAATGAAGAAGTTACAAGATTGGTTTATATGTAGGCTTCCTGGTCCTAAATTCCTTATCTCTGGTAACGACAGCTCTCTTCCTGGTACAGACTCTCTATATAAATTATTTTAGGCAATTAAATGAGACATAAAAACAAAACAAATCAAAGAATAAAACATTTTCTGAGTCTGCTTGATTCTAGTTACCTACAGAATAAAACAATCAGCATATAGAAGTAGCATATTATAGGGCCATATATTCTGTTCTCCCTCAATAATTATGTAACATATAGTGTCATTTTTATCAATAACCTACAAAGAAATGTCCATGGGCACAAAGTAGTTAAATAACTAGCATGAAGTCACTAAGTTGTTTAGTTTAAGTATTTGATGTAATATCACTCTGATTCTAAGAAACATGGTTACTTTCTTACCTCTTAAGTCTGTGATTTATTCCTTTGCATTTTGGAGTAAGATAAGACATTAATAAAAAACATATTGCATGTAGAATCTATGGACATAAATATTAAAAATTATGAGTATAAACCTTCATAAAACCCACAGTTTAAGGGAGAAATAGGACTGTTACAGACTCCAACAAATGTGGGTCTGGAAAACCTCTAGGAGAAAGAATACACTAGACAGTGTCCGCTACACCAGCAAAGTATACTAAGGACTTGTACTCAAGCACAAGGGAGGCAGAACCAGAAGAGAACATTTCATCCTGGCTTCTAGGAGGGAGTTAGATATGGGTTTTTAAGGTGTGGGTCTACTAAGTTGGGGCAGAGGGGAACCATGTCGTAGCCAATTCTGGGCTGAGCTAAACTGGGTCATGTGCAGATGGGTCAAGTGCTCTTCACACATCACGTTTTATTAGCCCCTAAAATATCCACCCAGGGTAGTGCAGGCTGACATACTAATGAGATTCCAGTCACTCTCAGGTAAGATTTCTTCTTCTTCTTTTAAATATTTATTTATTCATGTATACGAGAACTGGGGTGCGGACCAGATGTGCAGGCAGGTGAGGGGATTCACTAGAGACAGAATAGGGAACAGAACAGGCAGACTGACTGAAATACACTGCTAAATGGAGAAGTGGGCAAGACAGGAGAGGTCAGCCACGCCATGTGTCTATCTCCACGGCCAGCCGGGATCGAACCCACACTGTCGACGCTGCGTACAGCTTCACAGCACTGTGCTCAACCGCCTGCACCACCAGGGAGGCCCACAGTCAAGATTTCTTCTAACCATGCATGTAGGATCCTCAGCCTTCCTCCTCTAGAAAATTGTGAAACAATCATTAGTCCAGGCATAGCATCTTTTGTCAGCTATGGTGCCTTTGATCAGTTTTATGGTCCAAGTTGTTTGAACAAAATATAGAGGCAGGGCCAGCCAGTCTGTAATTTAGCTTGCCTGTTCAAACAAGATGTTGGACAACTCACTTTGAGATTCAGTTCTTGTCATTAAACTGAACATTGGCAACTCTTTTCTGCTGGCTCACAATTCCATTTACCCAGACAGTCTCATGACTACTACAAAGAAAAGGGACAAACAGATATAATTAGCATCTCCCAGTCAAACTGGTCTTCAGAAAATAAAAGGAGATATTAATGAATTAAAATCATATATTCTGTGGGCCTCCCTGGTTGCGCAGGTGGTTGAGCGCAGCGCTGTGAAGCTGTACACAGCTCTGCAGTGCGGATTTGATCTCGGCGGGCCGCGGAGATACCCACATGGCGTGGCAGACCTCTCCTGTCTCTCCCACTTCTCCCCTCAGCAGTGTATTTCAGTCAGTCTGCCTGTTCTGTTCCCCACTCTGTCTCTGGTGAATCCTCTCACCCTCCCACACATCTGGCCTGTACCCCAGATCTTGCATGTATGAATAAATAAAACTTAACAAAAATCATATATTCGGTATCGCTTGGTATAAAGGAAGTACACATTAATACTGTGACAGCTAGAATAAATGAGTTCTGTTTTCTATAATCCATTAGCTATTTTCTTCCTTGTCAACTCAGATTAGGATAAGAGATTCAGAGAAAGCAGAGTTCTTTCAATGTCAATATTTTTTTCTGGTAATTTTATATGACAGAAATATGAATTTGAGGTTTTATTTTATCAGTGACTATGCTAGCTGCTAGCAAAATAGTTTATATGTGTAAGTGTGTGTGTGGAGTGTGCGTGTGTAAGCCCTCACCCCTAAGCAATACTCACCTAACAGGGAAAGTTCCTAGTGACATAAGGAGTAATAGTTGAAATGGATCATGGGTAGTAATAAAATGGAGAAATGGTTAAAGACAATATTAATTCAGTGCTGTGCATCTGTAAAAGAGCAAGGGAACATGAAACATATTGCATTTTAGTTCTTAGGAGTGAGCAAAGTTTATCAGAAGTTGGAAAACTTTGGAGCTCCAGAACCAAGCAGGTCGCATGTCACATGCTTGTCTGCTATAATAAAGAATTTTGATTGTTTTCCTGAAAGAAAATGTGACTAGCTATTAAAACGTGATGCAATCAATTTCTATTTAGAAGTATATCTCTGGAAGATAGAGAAAGTGATAGAAAAAGTCAATTTAGAAACTGTTGCAGAAAATCAGGTAGGAGGCAGTGAGTACCGAGAGTAATTCAGTGAGAAATAGGGAGGACTGAGTCTAAGAAATTTTAGGGAAATATAGATTAAAGACTTTGGTATCAGAATTGTCTCAGAGTAGGAAGGGCTGAGACTATATAAATGACCTCCTAATTATTATTTTAGGAAAAAAATAAAATAATGGGAGAAATAGTTAGAAGGAAAGTTTGGGATGTGTAGAAGAATGTTAAAATGAATGTTGAGTTGAAATGTCTAGTGACAATGCTGATTATATGTTCAGTAAACAGTTATGAGTTGAAACTTAGAAGATAGTTTGGATTAAGCATGTATCTGAGAGTTATCGGCATTTAGTATTAGAAACAATAGATGTTGGATGTATTGTGTAAATAGAGTCTGCAGCTTAGTATATAAAAAAGAAAGGATATTTAATTTCCAAAGATATAGCACTAATGAAAGGGACAGACACAGGCGTGTTATTAAAGATAAAGACTGCAACATGACTGTTGGTTTGAGAATGAATAATCTGATCATGGCAGGTAAAGTATTTATTTTAAAATACACTTGGTTTTATTCCACTGATTAAGTGTACCTAGGAATGGGAGAAAAGAAATTTAGGATAGTTTCCAAGTTTCCATCTTAATTCAAAAATATGGGACAAATGGATATCTAAAGAAAGAAAAAAAACTGGTCTATGAAATGTTTGTGGGCATATGCATGTATACATGTGTGCATGTGTGTGTATATGTCATAGATAACATTATGCCATCTGTGGCCGCATAGACTTGTTTTTGGAACTTAGCATATATTATGAAAAAATCATATTGTAGAGGAAATTTAAGTTTCATTAGTCGGATACAATTATCTCCCGCTGTCTGATGCTGACTTTCCTTATCAAGAGCAAAGTAAAAGGGCTAAGCCTATTATACCATTTCTTTGATGTTATTATAGGACATAATGAAAGATGAGTGCTCAGTGCTGAAGCTGCAGCTGAAAGAGAGGGATGAACTCATCTCCCAACTTCAGGAAGAGCTGGTAAGTGATTGCAGTATCTGATCCACACATGTACTTTCCTTGCAAGGTTATTCATTATAAACCCTACAATAATGTATTAATACTACTGTGATTATTATTAAAATATTAAAGATTACATTTGAATTTTTATAACCCTAAGTTATGAAAAGTAGATCTTTGGTAAACTGAAAAATATATTTTTAAAAATTGTTCAATATTTATAGTGAACTTCATATAATTGCAGAAAGGGATCACTGAACCAAAATTAAATATCTCAGTTGTATTTATCAAAAATCATGAAGGCTAAACTCATATATTATTTTGCAAAAGTGCATGCTCTTACACCATACTGTCCTATCTAGAGATAGGATCATGTAGTGTAAGGCAAGTACTCAATAATCTTGCAAACAAAGATAAATTTTTTTTATAAAGTATTTTTTAAAAACATTAAACTAATGGTACCTTTTTTTAAAGTGGAGATGCCAATTTTATTTTATTGAAGTAATGTTGCATTATAACTTAAGTAAGTTTCAGGTATGCATCATTGAAAATCAACATGTGTGTATAAATATATACTGCATTAAGTTCACCACTATAAGTCCAAGTCTATTTTTACCACACAGTTGCTTCCTTTTTCCCAATTTACACATTCCACTTCCATCTTCCCTTCTGACAACACTAATTTGTAATATTAGTTATTATATAATCCAAAATAATATAGAATTATACAAATTATAAAATGTATATAGTTTATGTTTTCATTTTTTTTCTTAATGTGATATCCTAGAAAGTATAATAAACTATAGTTTCCTAGCATAGAACGCATTTAGTAGGTACAAGATTAACAGTCGATATTACTTTTCTGAGTGTTTTCAACTCATTTATGTATATACATCTTTTGCGTTAAAACACATTTACTCTGGGGCCTCCCCGGTGGCGAAGCGGTTGAGCGCTGGGTTGCGAAGCTGCCCGCAGCCTCTGCAGCGCCAGTTCGATCCCCAGCTGCTCCCCGGCCACCTGAGGAGGGTCCCACATGGCGCGCAGACCTCTCCTGCCGCCCGCTGCTCCCCTCAGCCGTGTACTTTGGTCCTTCTGCCTGCTCTGCTCCCCGCTCTGGCTCTGGTGAATTCTCTCACCCTCCTGCGCTTCTGACTGTACCCAGTGTTTGTGTAAATAAATAAATAAATCTTCAAATCCTTAAAAAAAAAAAACACATTTACTCTGACTATAAATAGGAAATGATAGTTCACTGAAACAAGAATGAAATAGAAAGATATGAGAAAGGAATTGCTTAATGCATCAGGAATTCTTAGAAACACAGTAAAATAAAGACATAGTTAACCCTGACTCATTATAAATATCAAAAATCAAATTCTAGTTAATCATATTCTTTATGATGTTGTTGTAGAGCAACCCCGATACAAAACGGAGTGCCTGACTGTGGGTCCTCACCCGCGCTTAAAAGGACTTATCAATGCTCTACTGCAGGCACATGCGAAAGGTTAATAAAAGGTTTTTTTACAAGGGAAGGGGAAATGAGGAAATGTACAGCTCAGGGAGAAAAGTGGGAGACAAAGTTTTAAATGAGTCCTACCCTATCCGCCGATCAGGAATCCCAAAATGGCACTCTGAGAGCTGGCCGTCAGCCAGGAGTGGTGAAGCCAGGAGGCCAGCGATAGAAGGGCCCCCAAGGCCCATGTGTTTGGTTTTTATATCCAACCTGGCTGCACAACTCCACCCTCAGGTCCCAGCCACCTTCCCTTTGGTGGTGATGGGATTTGTCTTTCCCAATGTCTTGATGGCTTTAGTCTGGAGGGGGGGTGGGGTCCACAAAGCCTGTATGGGATTAGCTCAGGGCATCATTTCCCCCTAACAATGTCAGATTAGACTTTATAGAAGTAAAGCTTGCAAGAAATATTAATATATCAATACTATATCAGACAAATTTAGAGCATATTTTACTGCCTCTTGACAACCTACCTTTTACTGAAACTTGATCTTAAACTGTTTTCTATTATTAGGTTGATGCTGATGATTGGTCTCATGAGCATATTACTGCAGTTTTAGACAGCTTATAAAACAGTACTCAAAATAATAATAACGCTACACACAACAGGAACATGTCTTAAATTGTGAGGCGTAATCTTTTGTAACTATTTAAGTGAATGATTTATAAGTAAGAGAACCATATCTATATTTAATATAGTCCTATAGGTATATGTATTAATCAAGCTTTGTTTTATGTCTTACAAAAATATCTTTGAGTTGACTAAAGATCATTCAGATATTTATTAAAAAACATGAGATTATCTTTTTTTAACACATCAGAGTATCATTTATTTTGTCATAGAAAGCTTAATTTAGATGTAAACTTGGAAGTATTCATTATTTCTCTCAATGTTAGCTATGGTCAGACTTGAAAGGAGAAAAAAATGATTTCTTCCAGAGACAATATTGATTAGCTTTAATTGAAGTAATTTGGTACCCATCTCTCCAAAAATAAAAAAAAAAGTCATCTATATTTCCTCTTTTGATTGATTTCCTATAATGGTGCACAAGTTTTTTTTTTTTAATTCCCCTTAAATTTGAACGGTCCTTAGTAACAGGTAGTTCATTCAAAGCACTATTTTAGTTTTTGTGCTGTATAGGTTCATAATCATGTAGAATACTTCAACAAAAGAAAATGCTAACTGTTGAAAGTTGTTTTTATTAAAGAGAAATCTAGATAAAGATGAAAAAGTGTAAGATATTATTGAAGAATTTACATTGTTAAAAATGAAAAAAAATATTAAAATTGGATTAGGAGCATGGTCACAGTGTGGTAACCCTATAAAAACAATAGAAACAAAGTTAGGTCCATTGAAAATTAGGTCCTAGTAGTTCTGATCCTGATAATAAATAACTTGACATTTTGACAAGGCTAAAGTTAAACTTTAGGTTTCCTACCTATAATAGAAATTTTCAAAACATTTTAGTAAGCTATTGACTTCTATCCTATCATAATGCTGAATCATAAACTGTAATACTTTAGTACCATCTTAGTTTGCTACTTGGGTTTCTCATGCGTTGACCACTTCTATCATTAACAGTGTTTTTATCTATGTATACATTACAAAAATAAATTAGGTGTAATTATACAAAGGGTTTTTATCTAATTTAATTGTTAATAGAGTTTTATTTGTTATGATTATTTGCTTACTTAGTCTCTCACTTTAATAGTTCCTGGTATTTTGAAAAGTTACTGAGGTGGAATTTGGGGTTGGGGAAAAAGAGTTGTTTTTAAATTGATGTATTGGGACACATTATTCTTTGTCCTGTGCATTGTAGGATATTTAGCGGCATCCCTGCCTTCTCCTCTCTAGATGCCAGTAGCACCTTTCAGGTATTGCCAAATGCCCCCTGGACAAAATTACCTTTATGAGAAACTACGATTTAGAGCATAATGATTAAATTATAGTTATCAATGAAGTGGTGCATTGCACTAGTCAAAAACAAAGGTTTTGCACAATGGACCTCTTCTTTTGCTATTACATAAATAGATATTTGCGTTTTGTTTTAGCCTGCAATGGCTGTCACAGCAAAATAACATAAATTGTGTGATTTCAGCAGCAAATTTACTTTTGGCAGCCCCTGAGACTAGAAGTCCAATGTAGCCTCAGCAACACTGCACTGATAAAAGAAACAGGAATGGTGGAGCAGGCTGTACAATGCAGGATGCTGCTCAAAGAGCAAGGTCCTAGCCTTTGTATTGATAGGAGAACAAAGAGAAAAGGGTGGGTCAAATTATTTAGGGATTTAGGGAGGGTGAGTCTACTGATCCAGTAAATCATACTCCGGACACCTGCAGTTAATAAGAGTGGTTCCACTCTTATTAACAAGGGTTCCACTGATCAGTTTATGGGATGCAAAGTACATCAGTCAAAGGCACAATGTATACCCATTGTCCCAGGGTAATCAAGTGGCCTGCTCTTATTTAACCTGAAAGGAGCCTTGTAGAGTCTGATAGGCTACATTTAACACGCCCACATTCCAAGAGCAGGGTGCCAGCATGATTGGGTTCTGGTGAAAGCTCTCTGTCTAACTTATAGGTAGTAACTTCAGGTGGTTATTCATATGGCCTTTGTTCAGTGCACAGCAAGGAAAGGCCAAAGGCAGTGTTCATGTGCCTTCTTATAGAGATAATCTGTCACAAGGACAACACTCTCAAGCCCTCATCTAAACACAAGCATCTCCCAAAGCTTACATTAGGGGTTGGAGTGTGAACATGAATTAGGGAGGGACAGGATTTATTTCACAACATATACTCATGCCTATTTAATATTAGCAAGTAAAAATGTAGAAAAATAGCTACAATTTTGTTTCTTTTTTTTCTTTGGTTCTTTTTCTAGCATTAAATGCACATTTCACACGTTATCATTTTTTTTCACTATGATTTCAGAATTATTACCTTGGTTCAACTTTTCTTTCTCAACTAGGCTGGTAGATTTTAAAAAGCAGAAATACACTAATGGACTGAAAATAATAATTTTGATTTTAGATTATATATTAATTTTGTTTGGGCAATTTATCCACATTATTAACCGTTTTGATAACATGAGTGAATTTTGTCAGCTTCAAGTTGTCCCTTTCTGTTCTTTAAAGAAAAAGTGAATTGCACTCTTAAGAATAATTTCTACAAGTCTAGAGTTATTTACCCTGAAATTTGTATGCATACTTATTGATGAGTTTTACTGGTTTTGAATAGATAAATAAAAATTTGTCTATGTTTTAATGTTAAAGAGTAAAATATTAAATATTAGAATATAAAATAAATTATGTAGTTATAGTTTGTATATAATATATATTGATGAGTTGTAGATATAAAAAAAATTAAGTGAAGGAGAAAAAATCAGAATTTAGAATTGCAAAAGTTTGCAACTGAAAAGCTTATCTTTGAACTTATTATGTTACTATGATACATTAGCGGTTTAAGCTGAAATCTTTAGTATATGTGAAGACAGCAAAACTTCAAGAAAACAGAC